TGTGTGTGTGTGTGTCTGTGTGTGTCTGTCTGTCTGTCTATATGTATGTCTGTCTGTCTTTCTCACATGTGTCACAGCATATTGTGGAGGTCAGAGGACAACTTGTAAGAGTTAATTCTTTTCTTCTACCATGTGTGTTCTCAAGACCAAACTCATTTCTTCAGTTCATCAGGCATGGTGCCAGTGACTTGCCATTTACCTGCTGAGTCATCTCACAGATGCAGAACACAGAGCTGTTAATGGACAATTCTTTAGCATGGCTTTAGCTATCTTTAGTCTGTTCATTTTCAATTTTATTGGACTGAACACTTAGTTCAATAAGGTAAACTATATTCCATAGTTATAATATACTTATTCTCAAGGTTACTGAAAAATCTGCCATCAGAAGTAAAAGTATAGGTGCTAGGGACATAGCTCAGTTGGTAGAGTGCTGGTTATGCATGCACGAGGTCCTGATTTCAATCACCAGAACCTATGTAAAACTCTGGGCATGGTAACACACTCTTAGGAGTGGAAAGGAAAACATAGGAGGGTCCCGGGCCTCTGGCTTATTCAGTGAGCTCCAGGCCAACAAGAAGATATTGTCTCAAAAAACAAGGCAATAGCACCTGAGAAATGATATCTGAGGGTGATTTCTTGCTCTCTCATGCATAAGTATCCTACCCACATACTTATACTCCTTCCCCAAGCATACATACACACAATTAAAGTGCAGATAAATAAACAAATCCAAGATTTAAAATTGTTTTTAACAATTAGGAATTGGAGGCTAAAATAAGTTGAACTTTAAATAAATTTCTAAAATTAGAAGAACAATACACAAAAGAATATGGAAGAAACCTGCCTTACAAGACAATATGGAAATTGAGTTGACCTCAAGTTCAATGTACATTTAAAATGATGAAAAGATGTGGACTTAATGTTTTCTAAGTATCCTTCCTGGATCAACAAATGCCACTGTCGAAAAAGAAATTCTGCAGTTCTCTGCATTGTGTGTTCATGATGTTGACACACAAGAGAGTGGGAGCTGGGAAAGAGAAGTCTAGCTGCCTGCCAGATGAGATCCTTCCTTAGAGTCGGAAAGACTCTGTTTTCAACCACTGTATAAGTCATGTCGTGCAAAAGGAAAGAATTCCTTCAAGGTAAAGGACAGAATATATGTTAATGTGTAACACACCTAGAAGTAGAAATTACAATGAGACCTTCTTAAGCCCCCAAGAATACACAACTCCAGTTTAATTTTGGTAATAATGGTATTTGTAATGATGGTGGTGATTTCTGAGGCCAGCAGCTTGCAGATGGAAAAGGCCCACATATGAATGGAAAATCCCAACTCCCACTTTTCTGTCCTATGTCATAGTATGTGATAAAGTTAGCCATCGAAAGGAATGTAGAGAATGGTGGAAGGGGGGCCATGGACACAGAGAATGAAAAAGAAAATAATGCTTTTAAAACAACATTTTTCTTTAGATTTTTACCTATGATGGTGCCTTTCTTAACAAATGAACGTAGTTTTACTTAGTGAATCAGGACATTTGACGTTTTAAAGAGAGAACTTTAGAACCATAAAAACCACAAAGTCATCTAATAAACATCATAAGCTATTGCACAAAGTGAGGACAAAATGAAGTCAAAGTGGAGTTTAGACATACTGATGCAACACGAATTCCCTATGAGTCATAAAGGAAGCTGGGGACAAGTCCTACCAACATGACATCAGTGAGTCCACACTTCCGTCTTGCCACAAAGTCCACAGTGATTCTCTAACCCTGTGAGTAAGAAAATAAAATGGGTGAATGTCTAGTGAGGTCTAATGTTGACCTTCTAATGTTACTCTTCTGTCTCTTTTTCTTAGAAAATCATACTTCTAGAGCAATATAGCCTGGGTCTGCACATGTGAGCCAGTTGTCCTAATGAGAAGTGGTTCTGTAGCCTTGGATTGAAAATTAAATGTACTTAGGCCCTCTACATGTGTGTGACAATTGTTTAGCTTGGTCTATTTGTGGGGCTTCCGGCAGTGGGAGCAGGACTTATCCCTAACACTTGAGCTGGCTTTTGAAAGCCTATTTCCCATAGTGGGTTGCCTCACCCAGCCTTAATACAATGGGAGGAGCTTAGTCCTACCTCAACTTGATATGCCATGCTTTGTTGACATCAATGCAAGGCCTGCCCTTAATGAACAGAAACAGAGGAGAAGTGGATGCGGGGAGTGGGTAGAGGTAATGGGAGGAAAGGAGGTAAAAGGAAATTATAATTGACAATGGGAGCAGATAAAAACAAGTTGCTGAAGTTAAGAGAGAATAGGGTTGTTTCATCATTGTCACAGATGTCACTCAGCTATTTTTAAAAGATAAGTAGATTTTGATGCTCACATGAAAGCAAGCAGTCATTTGGTCAATACATTGCTTCAATATGGACTTTAGGTAGCACATCAAATACTGGATTAAGCCACACACACAAAAGTGGCTTTTCCTTCTATCATCTAATGGTTTTGAAGGGAACAGTAAGGCAGACCCATCCAATTCTTACTTGAAACAGCACTTCTGATATTATCTTGTGTAGAGAATATGAAAGAAGATGGTGCAAATTCGGGTCTTTCTAATTGTGTGTTCCTTGACAGCGTAAGCAAACTGGCATCCTTCTTCATGGCTTAACTCTGTTGCAGATGTGTCTTATACAGTAGTGTAAGGTTCTCTACACTGCTGACCCACTGAGGCTGTGCTGCCAAGAGAAAAAAAACAAATATTGTTTCACAGTTGAAAAAAAAAAAAGAGGACAATAGAGGGGTATGGTATAGCATATGTCTTTAATCCCAGAACTTGTGAGACAAAGGCAAGCAGATCTTTGTGTGTTCAACATCAGCCAGAGCTGTGGAGATAGACCATGCCTGAAAGGGGGTCAAAGGCTTGAAATAAGTAAGGGATGATGAATTCAAGGCAATTTAAGACAGAATAGGTGGAAGTATAATGATTAACAACTACTTGACAGCCAGTAGTTGTACTGTGTGTGAAGGATATCCACATTTAGTGGTGTTGCACATCGTTTACCTGTTGTTACAGCTGTAACATGTAGTGGGCATCTGCTTAGTATGCTGGTTTCCAACCTCTCCCTGTATATAATAAATAAATAAAAAATGCATGTGCCCTAAAGCTTAGAAATAGTGTTATTCTTTCAGTAAAAGGCAAAAGATTTATATGATCTGAGGAGAAAGTAAAGACCCTTGAAATAGGTGAAAATAAAACACCATTCCCCGAGCAGGGGTCCTGGACTGTTTAACAGTGGGAAAAGCAAGCAAGCAAGCAAGCAGGTGAGCATGGGTGCCTTTATTCTGTCTCGGACCCTTGAAATAGGTGAAAATAAAACACCATTCCCTGAGCAGGGGTCCTGGACTGTTTAACAGTGGGAAAAGGGAGCTGAGCATAAGCAAGCAAGCAAGCAAGCAGGTGAGCATGGGTGCCTTTATTCTGTCTCTGTTCTCAACTGTGAATATGATTCCACTAGCTGATTGAAATTCCTGCCTTGACTTCCTCTTAATGGTGGAATGTAATCTGGTATTATAAGTAAAAACAAACCATTTCTATTCTAAAAGAGAAAAAGAAAAAAAGAGATAGTGTTATTCTACAAGGGCTCTATGGGCAATCAGCAAATTGTAGGGCTCAAAATATTTAAATAGCCTAAAGAAACAAATGGTGGCTCAGTTGTTAAAAACTGGTGACTGGACTTGACTGATAAATCAGTATCATAAGATTAAAAAAAGTGTTATCATAAGGGAATGACTGGTAAAGAGTACACAGGAAACTGAAGATACTGTGGAAATTCTTTCAAGAATCTATAGCCTTGACTGTGACCAAAACATCATTATCTATCTGTAATTCACCTAAATATCAAGGCAGAAGATTGGATTCTGGAATATAGGTGTTTGCTAGCAGAAAACAACAAAAGTACCCCCAAATGGAGATATTGTCAGCCTCCTGCTTTTCCAAATGTTGTTCAAATGCAATTCACTGGCAAGAACTGCTTCCCATAGAGAAACCAGTGAAGAGTATGTTACTAGGAAAGTGGGAGCTATAATACCTTATAATTCTTGCCACATTAGGAGGTGCTTAAAAACCAAACCATGCCATCACCAAGTCTGTTATGGTCATTAACTGCTCTCCAACCAGTTTGATCAGCTAGATTCTGATCATTAAAATGGGTATATGAAAATTCTTCATCTGGTGATTTAGCTCTTTTTGATGGAAACATTCTGACTATAAATTTATTTCTTGTATATATTGCCTACTGAAAGGGAATGAACTGACCATAAGGTCCTAGTCTTCCAGGGCCTTGGATCTCATACTTTAATTCCAGTGTTTACTCAACATTGAGGTTCTGATTGTCACATTCCATTTCTTAAAAAAAAAAAGACCCTTAAGAAAAAGAAATCACACCATGTTGGAAAAGTTTCTCCATTGAAAGAAATACCTGATATTCTAATGTATTGCCACATACAAACAGTTGCAATTTAGCATCATTAGCAAATACAAGAATAAATTTGCAATCTTTAATGTCAACTGGGTTAATTCTAAGAATAAGGTCCTTTTTTAGAATGTTAATGTGCTTTGGTTTCCAAGCTGTTTCTGCAGAAGGCTAGACTTGTATGTGTGGTACTTAGAGCTGGGCAGTAGCATCCTCTTGCAGACCACTTTTCATGACCAGTGTATCATAAGCCTCTTCCCCACTCCTCTTTGGAACCTTAATAGCCACAATGAAATGTTAGTAAAGACAGAAGGCAGATGAAATTCACTATTCCTGCCTTACAAAAACAGAAATATCACAGCTTTGTAGTTAGGAGCTTCCATGCCTCAGATGCAGTACTATTCTTACTTTGTTGCTACTGTTTCACATGTATCTTGAGCAAAGAGTATCAATAACATGTGAGATGCCTTCAGTCTATAACTGAATAAGTAAGGTGAGATCAAAACTCTGTGACCTAATCTTACAAAACTGGTCACTACTGTGTCACCTTCAGTTACTTACCAATTGCAAGTGTGAGAGGTCATAGAAGAACAAAATAGCAAGTCCATATCCGGTCTTAACAATCTAGAAAATACAACGCAGAATGGCAAAGCTATTGTACGAATGTATACATACTCTTTCAAGGAAAAGGTGGGTCCAAATTCCATCTTTGTGTCTTCCTATTTATACAGCTTTGTAAAAGTTATTGATGTCACTAGATCCATTTCTTCACAATAAAGAGATTTAGAAATAGTTACTTCCTAGGCTACTGTCAAGCTGAAATTGACAGTAATCTACTATAGGTAGGTGCTTCGTACTGAATACAACAATGGGACACACTTAAAATAGAGTCAGTTTTGTAATTGTTAAGTACATAATTGTTTGGAATGGTGTCTAACACAAAGAACAACATGGACAAGTGATGGAAAGTCATTAGTGGAAGAAAACATGCAGCCACTGACTTGAGTGAAACCTATTCTGTCCATAGATGTAAGATTTTAGCAAAGAATTTCTTTAAATGGTCTGAGGCAGTTGTGAACAAGAGGAAGATTTGAAGCATGATGGAAAATGATACTCAGCAACAGATCATTTTCCCTAGGAGTTGCATTCTACCATATATATATCATCTTCCACAGACAGCTATTGAAAGGCCCATGCTGTCTTGACCCTGACTTGAAGAAGGCAGGAGATTTCCATTGGTGTTTACATGTGGCTTTTGAGACTCAAGCTAGATTTAAACACAAATGCCATTTCCTTTAAAAATCTTGACTTCATCTTGCTTTCATACCTGATCTATTTTTTCATGAAATTCTAATAATTCTTGCTTGGGAAGGCAGTGTTCTTTGTAGGTATTACATTTTCAAAGACAAACTCATAGCAAGGTTCACAAATTCCTGTAAATAAGCCAGATATAGGATCGGGAGGAATCACAAGTATGGCTGAATAAAGACTCTATAAAACCGAGACATAGGGGTCACAGGTGAATAGATACTTGTATAGACAACAGGACAAAGCTTTTCATCCTACCCATTCTCCCTCAGCTTCCGGTTGTGGGCTGATTACTCCCTATGCCTTGACTAGAAGATTGTAATGGCTTGGCTGGCCTAAGCACAATTATAGTCATGAGTTCTTCAATGAGTCATATGAAGGAAGTGTCTTTATGGCCTATGAAGATATTCTCATCCATGTCTCCCTGTTTCCTGTCTGGTGCCAGGGGAATGCACTGTTGAAGTAGGTCTGGTGCTACAGTTTAACTCTTATGATCTTTCTTGAGCTGTGATTTTATTGTTCAACTTCCTACAACTGGTGCTGGGGAGAAAGCTGAGTAAAGTGTGTGATCATGAGGACTTGAGCTGCGTCTCAGCATCCATGTAACAGCTGCATGTAGCAGTGAACATTTGCAATCTCAGGAATGGGAATGCAGATACAGAGATAGATGGGTCCCTGGAGCTCACGGTCAGCTCATCTCACTGAATTGATGAGCTTCAGGTTTAGTGAGAGAATATGTATTAAAAATTCATTAAAGGAAGACTGAAGAAGTCACCTGACATTGATCTCTGACCTAACACAGATGCTCACAAGCATACATGCACACACAAACACATGAACACACAGATGCTTACACACAGACCCGCTAGGTTTCAGTTTCTCAGTAACTCAACCCACTGAGAGTGAAGCCAACCACAGCATCCAGCAGTGATTTTTTATTCATTTGTTCTCACAATCCCAATATTTAGATCTTGAACCATTCCATTCCTTCAGACAAACAGCCTGAGACTTTCTTGTCACCTCAGGCTTCCATAGATAGCCTCTGTCATCTATATTGAACCACCATTCATCAAATTTTCTCCTTCATCATCTACTAAGTATCACCAATTTCCATCGGAATTGCCCTGCCTTGAGCACTCCTATCTCCTCACCTTTTGTAAATGACCAGTCTCCAGTCTTCCTATCTCTTTGATCTAACCGAAACATCATAGCCAGTTATCACACCATGAAAACTCCCATGATGCTTTAAAAGGCTCACATGCTCCCCACCCACCAATAAACTAGGAACTCTTAGCCCTGAAGTCAAGACTATTATCTGGCTCCTTATCTTTCTAGACATTTCTCTCCCATGACTCCTGTACTCTTATCTCTGTTCCATCCAAACTGATCATAAATGCCTACTGTCAAACTTGCCCTTTGTCTGTATTCCTCTGCAATGGATTTCTAGAATTTTGACAGTAAATAAATCATTGGTTTGACACAATAACAACTTCTTTGTTCATGTACTCTTACTTGGCTGTATATTTTTTGCCTTGCCTACTTTTATGAGTGCTTTATTCACTTTCTTTGCTTGACTTACTTCATCAAATGTCCCAAGTTTTGTTCATCCCTGTACCTTCTGTTTCTCATTATAGACACAAACAACAGTTCCCACCTTTTGAATCTCCCCTGAACCTTTGTGGCATCCTTGAGAGTGCAACCTACAAACATCCAGTGTCATGAAGTAAGATTGACCAGGAGCCTCCAGTTTTAGTTACTTTGATTTAAAATTAATGAGTGCATCTATTCTAGGATAATTCTTCCTGTGAACAAGCAATTCCCAGCCAATGATCTTCCATATGAAGTGACCAGATTCATGTGATGACCCACAAGAAGTGACCACATTCATGTAAATGATCCACTTTGGCTTGAAGACTCCTCACTGGGCTTGGCAAAGCAGTTTTAGATTTCAATTAGATTGCAGGATGTTCTAGGATGTTTCCAGACAGCCTTCCTTTCTTCTCTTTTAGTTGGAGTCAGGTTTGCCTATTTCATCAGGCTGTCTTAGCCTTCCTAGTTTCCCTTCTCATTTCCTGTTTCTGTAACCAAATCTTCAAGAATTTAGGTCACTCCTGAACAACCATTTCTGCTATAGAAGCAAGTGACAAAACAAAGAATCTAAAACATGCTTGTCTGATCCTGCTTAAACTTGGCCTATGTCATATTCAGAAGAACAATGTGACTCTGGTTTCAGATCAAGATGGAGACACTGAGCCTGTCACGAGAACAGAAAAATTATCATAAGTAAGAGGAAACTGCTGCTCTACCCTTCACTGTAGTCCCCAGGCTAACAGCTGTTTCAATGGTGTGAACACAGATCTGGAATGCTATCTCTGTGCATTGTTACATGAGTACAGACAGTGTGAACTTGCTATCTTTTGCCCCACCTCAGGGCCAGACACAGAGTAGTCACTTTACACAATCTGAACAGGTGAATAAATACTTTTTTATTATGACTTCCTACATCTAACAAGGTTTTCCAGAAAAATATGTCTTCACTAAAAACCTTCTGTTAATTTGGCCATCATTAGAGGGCCATGTTGTCATAGTAATCCTGACTCGGCTACTTACAAACAGGATTCCTTTATCTCTCTGTGACTCAATTTCCTCTTCTAAAAATTGGAGATAATAATAATAATAACATTAACTCATTGAATTGTTACTGGATAAGAGGTAATTAGAATACATCAAGTGCTTCAAATAATGCTTGCCATTTGTTAAGTGTTTTATTAGTGTTACCGAATAGAATGCATAACCAGGGTAGTAGGAAGAAGCAAGAATGTCCATCTGCATCATCCAGAAGTATCAACAAACTCAGCCAAAAGTTGGGCATTAGATAACAAAAACAGCAGTACTACTGAGATTTTCCCTCTTTAAGTGAAGTTCTTGGTTTTAACTCTCTCTCTCTCTCTCTCTCTCTCTCTCTCTCTCTCTCTCTCTCTCTCTGTGTGTGTGTGTGTGTGTGTGTGTGTGTGTGTTTGCTTCCACTCTCAAGTGTGTCATACACCCACACCAAGACATACGAGGGAACGACAAAGAACAGATGTCATTACCTTCCACCTTGTTTGAGACAGGGTCTCTTGTTCACTGCTCTGCATACCAGGATAGCTGGCCACTGAACTTCCAGAGATCCAGAGACCAAAACCTACTGACACATGCAAGTTCACAAGATCTGTACTCATCTAACAATGCATGGCTCTAGTGTGGGCTCTGAGCTCTGACCTTGGCTCATCAGGCTTTGCCCACTGAGCCATCCTCACAGCCTCAATAACATGTCTTAATAACATCCTATAACCCACACTGTAAAATATCTTATGACAACTTATTTCTAGCAGTAAAACAAAGAAAATAATTGAGCTATGAAGGGACATGGGGCCCTTGCAAAGAAGTCAAGTATTGGGATGACTTTAAACACCTGAGTTGTAGCCTGTTTTAGCGTTTCCATTGTTTTACTCTAGAATGTCTTGGGACACACTTTTTTGGTAAGTTCAGATAAGTGCATCAGGGAGAGTCAAGTGGCAGTCACTGGGTGCATTCACCTCCTGCTTGGAGCACCTAAACTCTCCGTTCCTGGGTGGGTGGTTTCCTGTCTGTGTTTGGTTTGAAACAGTTCCAGGGCTTGTGGTTTGGGCCAGGCTCACGCTCTGTCCTGTCATCCTGAAGAGTACTTAACCGTGATGTTGATTTTGCAATGGGTGTGTGACGCCAGCATTTCTCAGAGGGAATTACGCATCCTTTCATGTTCTGGTTTGCATGCTCTTTTCAGTTTTCACTCTCACACCAGACAGCTCTCTCAAGCCTGATAGTCAAGCTCTGCAAATGTTTACACTTCCCGTCCTCAAAGATGATAGATAGAGTTTGAGTACTAGGATCATTCATTAAACAGGAAATTTATCCAAAGCATTCAGCAAAAGATACAATTAGAAAAATCTTAGATTTCTTACAAAGATAAAAAAGACAATAATGTGGAGCATATGAATTTGTCCATGGGACTAAAACCAAAGAAATATAAGAAGTTGTGAATATGAAATTATCAAGCAGATGTAAAAGAAATGCCTTCAATATTGTGTTTTCCTTGCCCATTAATTTAAAAGACCATTTCTTTTACAAATATTGTGAGTATACTTTTCAAATTTGAGATAGCAATTTTAGTAAAAATATTTCTGGGAGGAGATGGTATTTTAGGACATGATGCCAATCAGACATCATTTGTATCTTAACATCAATATCTATGTAAACCCCTCCCTCCTTCTCTCCAGATTGATAGCTATGTCAAATCACCGTATTATATGATAGGAGTCTGAAATCTTTAAGAGCCATTTTATTTGCTCAGAAAGAAGACATTACAAATTCATTTCCTGCAGCTGCTATACTGCACCTTAGAATTAAATAATAAAGCAGACATACAAACCTAGATCTTCCACTAAGTTGTCTGAGGAGAACAGACACATGAAAACATTTTGAACTCTAGTGATCACAACCCCTCTGATACTGTTTCTTTAAAAAAAAAAAAGAAAGAAACACTTTAAATATTAAGGATATTTTCCCCAAAGCCCTCAGGCTAAACAATACTGCCCAGATTTCGCCCATCATTTTTGCCATTGGCAGCATTAAATTGCTATGGAGCTACGAACACAAAATAAATCACAATGCTGTATTTCCTTCCTTTTCTTCGTCAGATGAAACTCAAGTTCTTAGGAACTGCAGAGGCTGAGTGAGAAAGTGTGAGTGAGGCAGGGGAGGAGGGTCAAGGATGAGGCAGAACATAGTACTCTAAACAGGAGCACCCTAGTGCTCACTCACACTCTAGCATCTCTGAGTCTTGATAACTTGTAGACATCTCACAGACTGCCTCATTTGGCATTAGCTTCTCTATTATGTAGGAAATCAATGACCATTGCAACTAAGACTTTATATTACCTGAAGAAATGAATGTGTTGTTCGAGACCAAATGAGTGATTGCAGCTGATCCAGTTGAGGAGCTGTGGTTATATTTTTATTTAATTATCTGCAACAGGACTGTGGTAAGCATTGATACCTTTGTCTAGCAGCCTAAATGCCTACATACTCCTTGTAGATATGATGAGCTGGAAGCTTGGGAGCTATCACTTTGTCTCCAGTTTGACAAAAGAACATTCTGATACATACAATTTAAAGAAAGAGCCTATGGGTGTGACACAATGATACTTAACTGAGTCCTTGCCACAAACACGGAGTTTGCTTATAAGTTCATTCTGCTGGTAATAAGACTTAGGTTTCAGAAACTATATAATATACATATTTACCTTAGGGGTAAAGTGATGTTGAACTAAATATATTCTGAGCAAGCAAAAGCCTCTACTGGAAAAAAAAGATACAGAAATTAAGGTTTTTGCTTAACAAAACCTAAAATATAAAAATCTGAACTTAAAATCAACTAGTAGAGTGATTGTTCACTTTATACAAAAGGAACATGTGTGTGATTTCATTGAATAGTAAGTACCTGGCATGTTTTGTTCCCCATGGTTTTACTTTCCCATATTCTACTTCTTCTGGTGTGCGAGATAGGTTCTTACTATATACCCAAGCAGATCTTGAATACATGACCATGCTGTACCATCCTCCATGGGTGCTGGGGCTATAGTTACAGGCCAGCTTTAACACTCCAAGTGTTACCTACCCATGGCACATTGAAAGGGATGCTGCCTAGCCGAAGAGAGTCACAGTAATTCTCAAAAAGAGACAGCCAATGTGTGAGCATCACAACTTAGAAGGTCAGCTAGTGAAACACAGTTCCTCCGCATGGAATAATAAGTTCTGATATTTAAAAGTAGAAAAGCCCACCACTAAAAGCTACACTAAGATATTGGACAAAGAGCTCTGACTATTACACTAAATAAAAAAGTCAATTTGTTAAACAACTCTATTCAAAAGGGCAAACTGAAGAACCTACATTACAAGGTGATGTGACTGTCTAATGTGGGAAAGAAAGGGCTGAGGTAGGGTGACTCCCAGACCTAAGTACCAAAGTGTTTGTGACTCATCTGTCTCCAATGCCCATCTGTGATCTCCAGGTGACATGTAGAACCTGAGGAGAAACTGAGGTCATAGAAATAGATTTTGTTAGCTCATGCTTCCAGCTTTTCAGGAAAGCCTCAGTTAATGTTAGGCCTGAGACGATCTGAGGAACTTCCAGCACTCAGCTCATATGTCAGTCACACAGATCTGCAATTCCATCACTCCTTTTGTGTGTGGCCTTTGTCATTGGATTCTGCTCATTTCTCCATCGGTTCAAGTCAGGGAAGCTGTAAGGGCCATGCACATCCTGTCCTTGAACGCTACTTTCTTCCCCAGGGATCTCTATTCTGGCATCACAGTCTCCAGGAACTGCCCTCACTTTCTCATGAGCTAGTTTCATAAAAGCAAGAAGAGCTATGCTGTAGAATTCCTGTCTCTTTAGAATGAAACCACGAGAAAGGGAAATCAGTCCCCTCTAATCAATTACAACAGTCAATAGCAAGGCCAAAGAAGACCAATACATTTTGGGGGGAATTCTTTATAGAGTTTTCATAAAATATTTCCTGCTAACTCTGGAGTTAAGGACACGGAGACAATGACAAGAGGCATTGTCCGCTATTAGTTAAATTAGAGATGACATGTGGATTTTAATTCATATGACAATTCTGACCAGTTGGAAGGGACTTAAAATGATGAGGATTCTGAGGCTCCCATTGCCACTCAGGGGAAGTGCTCCAGGAGGTTATGACAAGAAGGACACAGTAGTGACATTTGCCTGTGGTTCTGAGCTGAGGGACAAGCACTCTGCTCTTGTTTCTGCAGTGATATGAACTACAAAATACTTTGTTCTCTAGGTGACTTGGGATAAATAAAGGGTATGGGAAACAAGAATCTATACATTTAAATCTATCACCTTAGAAAATCTCAAAGTGACACATATCTTAGATAACGGCCATCACCATTGCAGCATTGTTATTCTCCTTCTGTAAAATATGCTAGAAGTAGAAAAGAAACTGTAGAATACATTCAAATCTGCCTTGCAGGCAGTATAATTGTGAGTAAACATTCTGATAAATGTCTACTAAAAGAAATCAAAATGGTTTGCTGCACATATCCCCATTTTCTGCACCAAGGAGTCTGCAAATTTATACTGGGTTATGTCTATCTTGAATATAAAATATGCATTTTTAAAAGTATTGATTTCTCATTGATTTCTTCCTATTCTAAGTGTTTAACACATGTTTTCCTAATGCAATCATACAAATACATCTGTGATAAGAGCACTACTATCCCACTTTATAGATGAACTGTGATGAGGAAGAATTAGGTGGCCCAAAGCTAAGAGACATAGCTAAGACTTGGGCACACAATCTAGCAACCAGTCTTTGCATTCTGCATTACTATGGTAGGTTTTATTAGCTTTCTCCACTAGTTTTGTGAGGAGACCTCCTTCATGTCACATCATAAACTCATGGGAGTATTGGGGAAGTCACTATCACCAATGCATGTGTCAGCCATGCAGACAGATGTCCACACCACCCACCACCAGCTGTAAGGAAAAGCAAAAATGATTCAGCCTCCAACTGTGAGGGGAAATTCAGTGATATCTTCTGGAAGTTTCAATATTTTGTTTTTGTTTGGTTTTAAAGAGAAAAGAACAATTAAGTATCATCTTAAATCTGGCCATCTCTTATTTTCTAAATCTTTATTGACAAATACATTTCTTAAAGCCATTCAGTCATATACAGGACATTATGCACAGGGCCTATGAAAACAGCATACAACATAAACTTTATAGTCATTGGTCACTGATATGCATGTTATCCTTATCTCTAGGTCCCAGGACCAGGGAAGAGAACTGGCAGCAGACTAGCTGCTTCTACAGAGGCTTGGGAATAATAACTGAACCTCTTGTTCTCTGTGGCCTGGAACTGATGAGAGCAGACAGGTCAAAAGCAAAGAGCTGGGTAATGGGCAGCAGTTAACTCTTTATATGATAATGATATCATAATTGAGAGATCTTTTCCTTTATTTAATATTGATATTTAATTTTCTGAAAATGCATGTGTGACATAATTGTCAGATTATAGATGACATTTGATCTTAACAGATTATTTCTTTCTAAGTCTTTTTTAAGTATGTCCCATTCATAAGGCAGTCTTCTTTTTCAGTGAAAAGAAGTTAAAGAAAGGCATCAAAGATACTAAGCAGATTATACTTCCAAAAACAGAAGTTGAAGTCATATCAAAGTAAATTCAATAAAAAAATCAACCAAATGTAATCTGATGAATTCCACATAAGGCTCCCTAATATGACAAAGGTAAATATCCCAAATGGAAGCAATAGATAAATTTTCTCATGAGAAAAGAGATTCTTGTTGGTCTCATATAATATTCCTCAACTCTAGACTTTCACCTTAATCATCACCAGGTACACTCTTGCTCAAGGAACTATTTACAATCACTAACCATAGACCATCATCACATAGATTAGGTTAACTATAAATTCCAACT